TATGGATCCATAGAGACTCTACAGGGCAAGACCAAACCTTCTTCAAGGTCATCGTAAGTGATTTTGACGCCAAATTTCACCCCGGGTGAACGGCTGAAGGACTGCATATCGGGACCCACGGAAGGGAATGAAATGAGAACGATGAATGGCTGCTCGATTTTATCACGTCAAACCAAACCATCCATGATAATCGCAGTTCCAGAAGCCCTCTCATTTCCGATGAGCAGTTCCATAATGAAGTAGGTCACATTACCTTCAACTGAAAGTTTTGCCTGACTAACGTCGCTGTTGTTCCAAAATTCTACACGGGAGCGGACCATTGTCTCCTCCTCGTTAGATTATATTTTTCAGTGCGTAGAGAGCATTTCCACGATAGCGCTCGGGAAGCACAGAGTCCACAAGCTACCAGGAGACATGTCTCTGCGAGAATCCTCGAAGCTGATACGCAAGCGTAGAATCGCGTGAGATGCAGGCAACGTCCAAATTTGCCAAGCTGTGCAGGGAAACGATAAAGGAAGATCTCTAAGAAAGAAGAGCAGCAGCTTTGGTCGAAGCCGCCGAGGATGGGAAGTGCATTGGCAAAGCATACTGGGAGCTTCATCAATCACAGGACCATGATGACTTCCCTCCCATCGTTCCTCACGGAATACTTACTGTTTCTCGAAAACAATGGAGAATGTCATCGTCGACGCTTACTCGGATATCTTCAACAACCACGTCTGCATGTAAACCTACCAAGTTAGGCGAGACGCTTGCGTCGTTCTTACGGCTCTTCCTTCTGAAATTCTACATGACATCACCCTTCTGAAATTCTACATGACATCACGTCGATAAGAATTTTGGCGCTCATTCCTGATAGGGTCGAAGCTGAACATCTGAAGAGATCTCCGGTAATTGTCGTCAGAACGTCAGAACTCTGGCTAGGCTCTTCACGCCGTACCTGTCGGAATGCAAAATACCCTTTTTGTGAAAACTAGCAAGCCTGTGTTGTTGTATAAAAGGGTAAATACAAAAGGAGATCCAGGCGATACTGTCAATTGTCGCCCAACCTGCCTGATGTTCTTCCTTCTGAAGTTCACTGCTCGATCCGTCGTGGGCGCTGTGCGGCAGCCCAACATTTCGCTCTGATCGATATGTATTTTCTGTGCTTCCGCTCGACTTCAACGGATTCACGCTTCGCTCGCTGTGACACGTGAGCATTTTCGATCGTCTTGAGTGCCACCACAAATGGTTACCCGCTGTTTTTATTTGCTTTGTGAGTGTCAGTGGAACGTTTGCTGCTGCGGTTGGATTAACTCGATTCGTGGAATTGACCAATTCATGTATCCGCCATGGATCTGCGCAGCAGTGCCTCGAGAAATGCTAGTGGGCAGAAGCAAGGCGATCTAGGAGCGGTGGAAGTGGTGCTCCCAAAAGAGTTGCAAGAGCAAGTGGAGGCCATAACGAAGTCTAGCCAGATTGCTGATGGATAAAGAAGGTGATCACTGCAATCACACCTGAAATACATTCACTTCGCTTGGAGAATATCGAGTTGAGGCAAGAACTAGATTGTGTTCGCAAGTCAGTGCCTCTTGAGTCGTCACCTGACACTAGCGTTGATACTACGTCAGAGTATCGGGGTCAAACGGCGTTCTGTAGTGTTACTGCTTCTACTGAAGGGCTACCCTACCAGGAAGTATAGAGGCTTCGATCTATTGTGATCAATGGCACAGCTGAAGAGTAAAGCCAAAGTATACGGGAACGCCTTTAATACGATTATGTTAGTGTATGTAATATTTTACGACTTTCTTGACATTGAATGCAACCCATGTATGTATACCGTCTAGACAGGCCTTTAGTAGGCAAGGATAGGCTGTTCAAGGTTGTGCTACCGTCACGAGTTTCCAAACGACTGGCGGTGAAAAGGGCCTAACGGCTCCGCTACTTTATTGGGGAGGGAGTCCGTGTAGGAGTGTCCCTGACTTCAGAGCAAAGGAGGCGTAGGCGTGAGGAATGTAGCCGGCATGAGGAAGGTACACCACCTGCCAACGGTGGTTTAACCGGCACTTCAGATCCTAGTCATGTGGGCAGGCGCTCCAATAGCATCGAGGGAGACTGAGAAGTTTTCCTTGGTATGTTGGACCGCTCAGGTGTTTCTAGGCTAATGTGAGGTCAGTCTCTAGAAACAATGAGTTCCTATAGATTTTGCTGGCGGAAAACTAAGGCATATTTGCCTTGTCGGAGACATGTTAAAACCAAATCTCACTTTAGCCGTATTAGTAATTACTACTAAGTAATTACTGTGTACGGTTGTGGACCCCTACGTCGTAGTTAGATGTGACCGTTCCAAAAAAACTGGTAGTGGTGTCATTCCTCTAGCTCAACATGGGCTTTCGCTATTTTCAGTATTTGCCGAATCAGTAGAGGAGTCATTCGACATACTTTGCGCAGAGGTAGGTACTCTGTGACGATTCCAGTTTTAGAATGTCTGTGGTTTATAGGGCACCCTCATGTTCCAGAGTAAGCTCCGAATTGCTTGCTAAAGCACTTATTGATCTGATATGTGAGAAACATAAGGTCGTACTCGTGATTTCAATTTGCCGTATTTCTAAGACCAGTGAGAAGGCTACCCTGATTATGTCGCTAAGGTCTATATGAATGAGCTAATTCATTGCCACAGCCTTACTCAATATGTCAGAAAACCCACTAGAGGTAGCAACACACTTGTTTTAGTTTCCTCTAATACGCCACATTTGGTGAAAAATTCCAAAGTTGTCCCACCTGTAGGTTTGAGTGACCACAATGGCATTGTTTTTGAAAACATGAGTCTGGTGTCCCCGACTGCCTACATTTACAAGCGGATGCACTCCAGCTGTAATTTTGGTGATCTGTGTCATAGTTTAGCTCAAATACACTTGATTTCCTTGCTTGAAACTCAAGGTAGTGTAAATAAAAAGTACGAGCATTTCTTAACTGTTTTGCATAGCGCAATTGATACTATATTCCCTTTAAGAAGGTTCCTTGCGTGAAATCAATCCACCTACCCAGGCATTTGCAGAATATGTGGGATCATAGAGAATGCTTATTCAATGTGGCCAAACAATCCGGAAATTGGGATAAATACAAAACCTTTACAAAGCGTTTCCAAACCCATCTAAGAGTATACAACGACTATTTAGAAAGGAAAATTATTAAATTAGTTAATGCTAAGGTTTTTCACAGGTATTTGAGCAGATGGGTCAAGGGCTTCAGGCAAATCGTTTGTCTGAGAAGAGATTGAGTTGTTGCATTTTCTCCAGATAAAGCCAGATATTGGTTGATCACTTCTAAAGCGTCTTCCAGGAAGATGACAGAAATGTCCCTGATTGGTTGGTGCCGTCTGTCGAACCAGTGATGGAGTTTCCGTGGTTCATTGCCTCTGAGCTATGTGAGCTAATCATGAAATGGCCTGGTTCTTCCTCGGTCACCCCTCATTTTGTGCCAATTTTGTTGTGTAGAGAATAGTCGCTGTTATCTGTGGTCCTCGCATAACCAGTCGTTATGCTTCGCTGAGGTACCCTTGCACGAAACATTCTCGTTACTCCGTTACAAAAGAAAGAGCCATCCTGAAACCCTGAGAATTTTCGCCGCGTAAGTATGACGTCTCTTTTCTGTCGGCTGTTTGAGAAATTCCCGAAAAAGTATGTCAGCCGTCACTTGTTTTCAAATTTTCAAAGGGCTGTCTTTAGCTAATAAAAGAGTCTGTTGCGTGCTTACAAGTCGTGTATGCGACCTTTGGTCGAATCCAGCACTACGGTTCCCAACAGCAAGGAAAGGAAGCTTGTCTATGCATTTGAAAAGGTTCAGAATAACCTTAATCATGAGCTGCTCATTCGAATTGGTGGTTTTTTGTACTCCGAAATACCAAAGGCAGCTATCAGGAATCAGTATCCTGGGCTGACATCTTTAGAAATGCGACGAAGGCTTTTCGATCTTTGCATGGTTCACAAACACAAACTTGCACACAGTACGTTTGGTCACGGTTCCAATGTCTTCAAGCTGACACATTCAAGCTGACACATTCGAGGACTAGGGGTGGCTCCATGAAGGTTTTTTTGGCACGTCCTGAAACTAACTTGCGAGCGAGTAGCTTTACCTTCTATGCTGGCAGTGATTATCCAAGTGTGATGAAAAATATACACGTCTCTGCTAGTCTAGTTCAAACGCCAAGTAGTTAAGTTGCTGCTGAAGGGAACTGGTCCTAACGTTCTCTGAGACTGATTAATCAACTAATTTATCTTTGTAGTGCGTTGGTTGCTTTTACAAATGATCGACATTTACATTGCGTTTTGTTTTCTTTCTCAAGTCTTCATTTCGCAGGCATAATAAACTTATAACTTCAATTTATATCTGTAATCTATGAACTTTACACTTCGGTCATCCATCCTCAAAAGGATTAGTAGAAACCTATAAAGGATAGCCAAGCGAAACAAAGAGGGTTTCTGAGCTTTACGTGCGCCTGTGAAGTTTGGACTATACAATTAGTACTTGGCGTCATTCAGCGCGCAGTGGAAAGGACGATGCTCGGAAATTCCCTATGCACGCAAGGACAGAAGGAAACCAGGAGTCCCGAGATCCGTCAACGAATGAAGATAAGAGATGTCGTTGCTTACGCCAAGGGATCGACGATCAGGTGACCGGACACCTTAAACGCTATCGTGATGACCGCTGGACCAGGACTAGGTCCCCGAACGCCATTCTAAGATTTCTTCACGAAAGCTCTGAACGAAGCTATGCTATTCCTTTCGTCCTTCAAGCAAAATCGATCTACAGACCGCTCTGGCTCACGACAGGGACGAATGGAGACGTAACTGGTGTCCGTACGACGAAGCCGATGATCAACGTAGGTGATACAGCTGATTTTGATTAACGCTACCACTACGCTAGTCAACCTGTTACCTCGAAGGAATTGCAAAAAAGGATTGTTTTCTCTAAATGTCTTCTTGTGAAGAATAGTGAAAGAATAGGCTTATGGAACATGATTACCTGCAGTATCGCAACAATTTATCCGCGTGATCCGCCATACCAACATTGCGAAGAACAACATCCGTTATGTCAGCTGGTTGCGGAAAACCATGCATACGAGCAAGGATCTGTAAAAATAGCTTGAGTTCCTAACCAATCTTCAAGAAACCAACTATTAAACAGGCATTCAATGTCGTTATACCAGCGACTTCGAAACAAGATTACGGCTTCTGCGGAAGTTTTCAGGTTTTGTCTTTTACTTTAATCGAACTAAGCGGTAACAATAGAAGGGACGGTCGAAGGCGGCTTCAAAGAGCAAACAGTTGAGAAGTATGAGGTCTTATACATTACGAGTAATACCTTAAGAGATTCTCTTCCAGTTAGGTCCAAAAGAAGTGCGTCAAATTGAGGGCAATAACCGATTGGCTGAAAAGAACAGATGAAATGAAACTTTTTCAAAAAATACTACAAAATGTCCAAGCGATTTTTCGAGGAACCGGACAAGTTGACCCACGACTTGCTCCGTCACGTCCTGTTTGCCTATGTGAGCGGTTCCAGATGTGGCAAATGATTGTCCCGTGATTATATCAAAAGTAGTTGTCTTTCCAGCGCCGTTCGCACCGAGCAGTCCAAAACATTCGCGGTTCCGTACACCTAGCGTCAGACCATCAACCGCTCTCAGATGCCCATACATTTTGCACAAATCCTGAAATATANCGGAAACAATTATAAGAGCACGATGCTCAAAAGAATGTGCTTACCATGACCTCCAGCGCCAAATCGCCGCCGTGCTGCTGCACGCTCATCCGCTCTTCAGCCACTGCTCTGTCCTCATCATCGTCAGCGTCCTGGAAGCAGCGACTGACTATCTGATTCAAAACTTCTTAGGAAAATTATATTAAAGAAATGCGTACTCTGCCATATCTCCTACATCCATGTCGCAAATCCCAAAGTTGAAAACATCTATATCTTACGCATTTGAATTGGAACGTCAGAAAAAGCAGTGAGGAGAAGCAGCCGAATACCAGCATGAACGTTAAATTCCTACCTGAAATGCCACCACAATTATTGCACTATCTCCAGAAAAAAAGACCAGCAAAAAAGTATTAGGTTTCCGACAAATTACTGCAACTTAATTTTCTGCCATTTCAAAAAATGCATATTCATTTGAAATAAAATTTAATATATCAAATTAAAGTGGTTACATGAAAATAACTCACCGAGCATGTTCCATTCCCACAGAACTCTTGGCGGAGACTTCTCAGCTGAAACTCTTCCCACCGTCATCACAGCATTGCCGAGAGCGAAGGAGGGCAGCAAACACAGTAGTAATGACTATAAACGAATGTATGTCCAGCAGGAGTTTGGCAACTTGAAAATCTGACAAAGGAAAGCAGAATGACTATGGCGTTACTTTATTAAAACAGCCATTCGACTTTAGATGTTGCCTCAGCAATAAGAACAATAGAAATGAAGTTCCTAGTTACCTTGATAATTTCGATGATTGCTGGCTCTATCACCGTCAGTTCACCAAGTACAAAAATAATTATGAACACCATCATAGCAAAAAATGCAGCCACCAACTGCCAGAGAATCAATAAAGCGTTCGCCTTTGATGGCGATGAAAATATGAAGGACACGGTGTAAATGAACGGGACACATGCCCAAAAGTACAGTGCAAATAGCAGAATCACGCTGAAGAGAAAATCTTCACTTTCTTTTTTCTTTTATAGCTAGGCGCACAAAAAATGCTGGCAATAGAGGCAATAGAGAAATACCAAAAAGTTCAACTCACAATCCGAGATACCCTTGCATCCAACCACATATTATGAACACTGCTAAGAAACATGCGCAAACAATGGAGTAGAAGAGGAAATCGAAGAGGAACGAGGATGCCCAGAATAAGACTGGAGATATGCCCGTCAAAGATTGCAGANGCTGCATTTTGCGTGGGGTTCAAGCCGAATAAATAAATGGAATAAACTAACAACACAGAAAACGGACCTGGTGCGCAAACTTGCTGACACGCTCTTCCACTAGAAAAATAACAAAAGGTGATGTTACGAGCGCCAAGGCCAAAACTAAGAATGGTCCCAGCAAAGAGTTCACAAATCCTTGACTCAGAAGAGGTGATGGTCCGCTGCTATTCGAAATATTGGGAGAATAAGTAAGCAGATGGGTGCGGATGATTCCATCAGGTGCTGAAAGGCGCTATTCTCAGATGGACAATTCACATCGAGTAGCTGATTAATATGACTACATATATTTGAATCGCCGTCGAAGAAGGCGGATTCACTGAAACGACATAGGAGACTGACAATTACTCTAAACGGCTGACGTTCTAGTGAATTACTGAAACGTTAGCGATTCAAAGTAGTTGTCAATTTTCTATGTCATTGTTTCAATACAATTCACTGAAATCGAGTAGCCCAGAATTGATCCTGGTCATATGGCCGTGCTCACCATCTGTTTCACTTTTCAGTCGTGCATTGTCGTAGGCATTCAATGAAGTTGGCAATGAGTGGTACGCTCGGGAGTTAAAGAGCACTTCGACGGAGTTGTTGGCGAACACCGCGCCGAATCCAGCCTCGGGTAGTTGCTTTGGCAAATCCTCTACCCAGGTGGTCAAGTTGTCATCAGGACCGAGCTCATAGACCTGAACATAACTTTTGATAGAAATATTGAACCAAGTCAAAAAGACAACACTGAACAATAAAAGTACACCTGAGATTTTGGTTCCTTCGATACGATATCGATATATGCGCTCACTATCGGAGACCATTGTTCCACTATCACAGGAATGCGAGATGGTCCGAACGTCGCCACAGAAAACAGCCGTTCTGAGTGTATCAAATGTTCATCAGAGAAAAAGTCAGGAGAGAAGATGAAGAAAAAAATGATCCGAACTTCGGAACGAGGAAATTCAAAAACTAGCCTTTGTCGCCATTTAGCTCCCTCTCAATTGCTGACAGGTAACCGATCAAAATCAAAATTCCAAGTGGAACTAACACTTGTCCAACCAATTGTGACCAGTTTCTAACACAGTAGAGAAATCTTTTAGTAAAAATGGCACGTAATTGTGCAAACATCAGCGAACAGCCTGTATGGCGAACCACTGAAAATTAATCGCGTAACCACACATCAATAGTGAATGACAAAGTTTCTGTTTTCTCTGCATCACTAGTTGACACCACAGGAAATAAGTTTATAGGAATGCAGTAGGAAATAAGGTCTTCATGCTAACGAAGTAAATGACTTTACCTCGCTGTGCTTGAATAAACTCCTTACTGCGGCTGATACGGGCATCTACAGAATAGTTCGGATCGGTACTTTCAGTCACCCTGAGAAACACCTGAAAGGATTTGGGAGATTCTCGAGCACGAACACGGTGGTGGAGGGACAAAAGCATTCAACAAAAATTGAAAACGCAGCAACACAAGTAATCAAAAGCGTACTTGTTCCAAGGTGTTTAGCGATAAACCAAAACTGGTAATCTTCAAAGAATCCTTGGACGTTTCCAGGTACTCGAATAGTTGTGGAAAACTGCAAACAGTATAAAATGAGGATGCGAAAAGATCATGCAACTGTAGATTAACACACCCCTGAAAAATTTTGATAAAACATGAGATATTAGCGTCAATGACAGGTAAAAGAAAAGAGAAAATCATAGTTGTTCGGTCAAAATTCCACCTTTCTTGCTGTTTCCTCGGTAGGATAATTTCGAATTGTTTTCCATGCACTCTGCCTCTTTCGGCTCCAGGAATATATATTGCAGAAGTGCGAGTTAATGTTTCTGCAACGTCTTGAACGCTTGCCTTCTCAGCGGCCACGACCGTCATCACATAGCCGGTTCCAAATCTGTATTAATGCTCACAGAGTAAGAGTCCAATCAAAAGATCGAACAGCGTTGTAGTCTAACCTCTCTTTCAAAAACTGCGGTGTCCCACAGCAGTGCACTCTACCACTGGCCATGATTGCAACGCGATCTCCTAGCAGTTCTGCTTCATCCAGATAATGAGTAGTAAGCAGAACTGTTCTGAATGTCGTTCATTGTTAACAGGTCTCCTCTGGTGCTCGCAGTTTCATGGAAAACCAACCGATCCACTTTGATCGTTTCCAGAAGCGCCTCTACATCTCTTCGAGCACCTGGATCCATACCAGCTGTAGGTTCATCCAGTAACACCACGGAACTGTGACCGATCACCGCCATCGACACGGAGAGCTTACGCTTCTGACCGCCGGAGAGATTCTTTGCAAGCTGGAAACCTTACTCGTTAGGGAATGGACAGTCGAAGTACGACTATACATATAGCTGCTGGGACTTAACAACTTCCGACCTCGTTGGATTTTTCATCCAATTTAAGTTGTTCAAGCAGTTCTTGCCCTTCTTCCTTATAGGAACCAACGGCTCCTTTAATCCCATGGATAAGCCAAAGGTGCTCATCGACTGTTAATTTGTTGAAAAGCGCATTCCCTTGTGGACACAAGCCGATTTGTTTACGGGACTTTGACCGATGCTTCTGTACGTCCAGATCACAGATGAAGACCTTTCCTAAACAATGGAAGGAAGTTTTTGTATAACACAGTGCATTTCTCGAGGTCGCCACATTCTCAAAGTTTGAAAGGGGTTCCCTAGAAACCGTTTCTCTCAATCCCTCAGGAAAATATTGAAAGACAGCAGCCTTTGATCTGTCTACATTTTGTAGTCTAATGACGCACCTGCTGTCGGAGCTGTGATTCCACAAATGACTGAAAATGTGGTACTTTTGCCAGCGCCATTTTGCCCAAGAAGTACCGTGACCTCAACGAAATTGTTAAAGAAAAAACAAATAAACAACACAACTAGTTCGCCCTGNTCGACAGGGTGATTGCTTGAAAAAAAAAGACACCACAGCAACTACAACTTTTTTAACATAATCGAGGTGTGTCTAAATGTGCATGCTTAGGGACTGCCTATTTCTCAGTATGTCCCTGGAATTGGGATACAGAACCTCCTTAGACTTTAATATACCATGCTTACCTGTCCAACATACGCTTCCAGTGACATACCGTCAACAGCGCGCTCGCCTGTTGAAGACCAAATCTGAAAATTTGCTTGTTAGCAGCGCAGCCTTGAAGCATATTATTAGCTTGAGAGTATACTGGTCAGGAGACTCAAAGAATAATAAATCTAAATATTTCGTGGGATGACTAAACAGGACACTACTTATTTCTATGCGCATAACATGACTCCCTCTTTCTTACTAATAGGTTGATGCATCATTATTAAGGATTTTTCACGGTTTCTTTTCTCTCGATACAGCTTCAACATTGAATTGGGAATTCAATAGGAATAATAATCTTGCTTCCCTTTAGTATGTCCAGAGAGTCTTGTTCATATAAGCGACATTATCCTACTTACTATAAAGTGCTTCGTCTGTCGTCTGTCGTCAGTCGTCTGCCGTTATGTATGTCTGTCACGAAATTCCTTAGCTCCTTTAGACCTGCCTGGAGAGACCGGGTCAAGCGTGGGATGGGTGGGTCATGTCCCGAGAAGTATAAAGCACACATCAGCTTGGCAGAGCCCNTAACTCGGTTTGGAGAGAGCCAACAGAGCAGGAAAAAAGTTGATGTAGGGGAAGCATTGTCGAATGTGTCTCCAGCATAAATGACGTCAGCGGAAGCCCGCTCACAATGGGCAGAGTGTGCGTTGAGGTGAAGGCTACTTTTCAAAAATGGTTGTAACTTCGTTCGGGAAGGTTTTAGAACGCGTGAATAAGGTGGTTAGAGGTAATGGTACAAATGTGGCCAAATCCTCGAAGTGGGCGGGGCTTTCACCAAAGTGAGCGGAATTCGCGACGAAAACTCACGAGTTCATTCCAAAATGTTCTGGAGACCGGGAAAAAGTGCTTAGATATAAGCAGAGGAAAGAAGTCTACAATCATTGATGGGCGGGGCATGCACAAATGTGGACGAAGTTATCCACGAAACGTTATAACTCACCATCAGTTCCACGAAGTCCTAGAGAACGGAAAAAAGATGCATTGAGTCTGGAAACTGTAGGCAAATCGAGTCCTATAAGTGAGAGGAACGTGCGTCAATGTGGGCGAAGTTTGCAAGAAACCTACAACTTGCTAAAAAAAAAACAGGTCTCCGCCCACAGTGAGCCAAGGGGCGGGGTTTGAGTGGAAATTCATAGCTCCTGCTCCCGTGGACCTAGAGCGCTGAAATTTGATGGGTGTGCAGGCGGCAGGATATAAACACTTATGTTGGGTCGCAAGACTGGACTCCAACCACATAAGGCGAAGTTAGCGCGAAAATTTTAACTTGGACCTAGAGCGCTCATATTCGATAGAAATACAGGCGGTAGGACGGGAGCACCTATGTCGAGCGGCAGGATTTAACTCCGCTCACAGTAGGCGAGGCGTGGGGAAATAAGGTTGATTTAGACTCGAAGCGAAACTCAAACACTTAAAACCTAAGGAAGTTTGTTCACGACGGACGGGGCGCGCGTTGGGTGTTTGTGTTTGCCCGGGGGATGCCATTTTAGGCCGACTGGTGCTCTATTAATCTGAGAAAGGTTGGAAGGTGACGAACTTCTCGGCGATGCAGCAGTCTGCCAAAGCCGAATAAAGAATTGAATCTGCTTTTACGGCCGCCCTTTTCACCCACAGAAATTCCTCTGAATGATCAGTTAATTGTCCGTCGAAAAATTGGCTAAGAAACAGATTTTTCGACAAAATGGATAGCTTGATGGCCAACGACAAGGAGTGGATCGTCTCCAAGAATCGAAACTTCTTCGTCTATGGAATGCGACTGCCTAGTAAATGGAAAATAGTGTCTGACGTAAATGGTGGATATGTTTTGGAGTAATTATTGAACATGTCTTTGCTAAACATTTCTATCGTTTCTTTAAGTAAAATTTGCTGAAAAAATTCGCAATAATTATGCATCAACCTAATAATTTAACCCTAAAACAACCTAACACTTTCTCCCTCTTCGATAGACTGCTTTACTTATTCGAATTCGGCCACTCTGACGCTTCAAAATTTAAAAATGAAGGTCGAGAATGACCTTCCATCTGATCAACCGACCGTGTTCTCCTGTCATGTCCGGATATGCTATGTACCCTTGAGGGAACAGGCCTAGTCTTTCTATGGAACCTCCAAAACATTCCAGAAAAATCCCAACTTCATTGAAACTTTCCGCCGTTTTTTGAATTTTTTTACACCTATTGCTTGCTTTCTAAGATAGTATGAAGGAAAAAAAAACCTGGCATTCTCAAACATTTCTGTTCCAAAGTATTCTACAGAAAAATTAGAAAAATATTGAACCTCCAGAAAATGATAGAAAACACTAAGTCTGACCTTGATAAGACGCTGCACCGAAATACCTGCTCGTGTTTTCCGTAGTCCTTCGTCAGTCTCATTGTTGTCATCATTTTCTTCCAGACTAGTGGCAGACCCACTCCGGTACTGAAAATAACAGCGGTTCTCAAAAAGTTGGGAAGTGCTCCTACATAAAAGCTATTGAAGAAGGAGCTATGTGAAAGAAAGGTAGAAGGGTCAAAAAAAGTTGAACAACCTTGTTGCCGAACGGTAGTTTGCAAAAAGTGAAGTCGCTATCACTAAACATGAAGTCAAAGAGCAGCGTCGCTATGCTCATCCAGATTATATCCACGAGCAGCATAACCAACGCGGGTCCAGCCGTAAAATAGTATGTGAAATTTTCGAAACAGTTTGACCACGATAATTCTCGACCTAAATCAATGGTTTAATTCAAATAGATATAGTGAAAGCATAGTGACTATACTTGCCGCGATCCATGTAGTCAGCGAAGGATTCAAGAGCATAGAAGAGAGCTGCATTCGGGTTCAGTGAGTACAGAGCACAGAACAGAATCTGGTCGACCCGTGGAGCTCGGTAACGCGCCGCAACCAATATAATCCACAACACGATTACCACTGAAATATATGTAGAGGAAAACTATACTAATAAAAAAACTATACTATGTATATGTATAACTATACTAAACTACACTAGTTTTTGCAGATCCCACTACACTATCTCAACATGCACTGTTAAAGCAGCGTTTATTTTCCGCTGGAGGTGTTGTAGTGTGGGAAGTGGCGTAATATCTCACACGCACAGACACGGGTTCGAAGCCCGGATTGGTATCTTCCTAGGCCGACCAAGCCTTCCATTCCTCCGGTGACGGCCCATTGGTACCAGACCCCTCTAGAGCACTACTTGCACATCGGCTGGCCGCCGCAAGTCATTACAGGCCTCATACGCATTCAATATGCCACTACATACGATTCTGAATGGAAGTCGGATTGGGCGCATCTCCCACACGGAATTCATTAACATCCAAAACTTTATCCCTTATCACTTAAATTCTGCAGGAAATACGTCATCCCCATGTGTCAGATGTGGAGGCTGCATATGCGCAAGTATCAAATGAAAATCGAAAAGGTGCAGAAAGCATTTATGAGGGTTTAGGTAACTAGATGATGTGTTTTTACTTCACGTGTTGGAGGTCAGTTGCATACCTATCCTTCATTCATGTTTCCACCCATTCATGTTCCTACCTCCTTTTGGAGAGGAATACTGAAATCATAGCGAGAGCCCTCATTTTTCCCCGCCCACCTCCTTCGTTATTTACTAGTTTTGATCTCCCAACTCCACTGGAACATGTCCCCACTAGCGGCCATGAATGCACAAAGACTGTAGCGCGTTCTTCGAAGCAACAAATAAATGAATAAAGGACAAAGGATGAAGTCTACGGGCGCTTATAGACCCCGTCTGAGGGATGTGCCCCCTTCGACTTCCATTCGGAATCGTAGTGGCGTAAGGGCTGACGGTGACCATTTGACGTGTAAGTCAATGCTTTTACCCCCCAGACGAATTTGTTACAACCTAATCGACCACGGAAGGATGAAAGGCTCGATTGGTCCAGGCGCATATCGATGAGTGATGGGAACCCGTGACCATGTGTGCGTAATAGTGCGGCACTTGTCACCACACCACTTCCACCCAAATTTATAAATGTACTGAACCACTGTGACGACATATTTCCCAGATATCCAGCCACATTCTTTCGCTCCAACGTTGGCCTACCAAGAGTTGCGAAGCAAAAGTCACGAAGGCGATAATCAGTACATAGTACTCATTGTCAGTTTCAACTCTTCCGCCTCCGCCCACTTTTTTTTGAGCAATTTTTCGCAGCGATTCTCCTTGGCACACCCTACTTATAAAATCGGCTAAGTGTGTCTGTGTGTGTATTTACGTGTGTGTATATATGTATTTATGTATGTATGTATGTATGTATGTATGTGAGTGTGTTTGACTGGAAATTCATAACTTCTGTCCCCGTGAACCTGANGTATGTATGTATGTATGTATGTATGTATGTATGTATGTATGTATGTATGTATGTATGTATGTATGTATGTATGTGAGTGTGTTTGACTGGAAATTCATAACTTCTGTCCCCGTGAACCTGAAGCCTCTAAATTTGGTAGGAGTACAGGCGGCTGAACACTTTTAGTCGGTGGCACGACCTTACTCCGCCCAAAGGGGCGGGGTTTGTGAGAAATAAATGTTTGAGCGAAAATTCAGAACTCCTGTCCCCGTAATCTCGGAGCATTCAAACTTGTTAGGATTAGAACACTCATGGTAAGTGGCAGGATCTCAGACTCCCTTCACAACGGGCGGGGTTTGAGCAAAAAATCAGATCTACTCTTTCCGTTGCACCTAGAACGTTCAAATTTGATAGGTGTACAGGTGGCAAGATTGTAACGCTTATGGTGGGTGGCTAGACCGGACCCCGCCTAGAGAGGGTGGGGTTTGTGCTGAAACTAACGACACTTGTTTCTGTGCACCTAGAGTGTTCAGATTTGGTAAGAGTACAGGCGGTAGGACGGCAACAATTATAGTTGGTAGTAGGAGCAGACTCCGCCCACATTGGGCGGAGTTTGGGCGAAAATTCACATTTATTGTTCTCGTGCACCTAGACCTAGCGCTCAAATTTGGTGGGAGTACAGGCGGCTGGATGGGAACACTTATGTTAGGAGCCAGGACCGAGCTCCTCCCGTAATAGGCGGAGTTTCGGCGAAAATTTATAAGTACTGTCATCGTGCATCTAGCGTGTTCAAATTCATAAGGGGTTTAAATGACAGGAGTGGCAGGGTGCGAACACTAATGGTAGGTGACAATTCTCGACTCTGGGCGGGGCGTGCCTGAGAATCAGCAGGCTGGATCAGGGGCCTTCAAATTTGCTATGAAGATAGACGGAAATGTTGATGGTAGGCGGCATGATCGACAGAAGGTGGGCTGCACGCGAAAATAGCTAATTTTGACCTGAGGCGCTCAAATCTGGAACGAGTGCAGGTGGCAGATTTAAGACACCGATGGTAGGTAGTAAAAGGTAGCTAAACTGGATCCAGCAGTCAATTTGGAATAGGAAGGAATGAACCCAAGGCACGAAATGTGAAGGCATGTGTTTTGCTGGAGACCAACAGCTCCTGTTTTCTTTGATCAGATTTTCAAAACTTGTGAGGGCGCAGGCGGCGGAACAACTTCAACACAAGAAGGAGGAAAGCCCGTTGTTAGCCGGGCGATCCGACTGGTAGATATGGTAGATAAAAATGTATCTAAGCTTTTCTACCATTTGCATGAGAAACCCTTTGAAATACACACGACTTTAAAAGCTGCGATAGCATCTGGCGAAAAAACAAAGAAGTTTTAGTGAATTTTTTCATGGGAGTAACCCGAGCATACTGATTATCATGAGAAAGCGGAGGATAGAGGCAAAAGAGCGAAGACGGAGTGGCCAGTGAAAGCTTTCAGCACTTTTCGCTTGGATCTACTTATCCTAGCGGTAACAATTTAGAAAAGGCAATCCATCATAACTTCTTCCCAGGCTTCATCTCGGGTATGATGAATATTCGGAATTAAATAAAATGAAGAGGATTGGGTTTGTGCAAAGCACCTCTCAAAAGCACAATCAAAGGTGTTGTGACAGTACCGGCTCTTCCATAAAAAAACAACAAGAGAACGAAAAAAACCTTTCAGGACGGTGTTTGATGTCTTGAAGAGAGAGGATATAAGCGCTGCAAAAACAACCGCCGATATTCCATACAGCATTATCGTAACGGCAAAGAGTGACGCGCTCACAGGCTGAAATAAATGGACTCGAAAGAAGCTCTTAACATAAAAGACTCACGATTTTCAAACTGCAAGAATTTCACCGAAACAACCTTTTCAAGCATGAATTTACAGCAATGTTTACTTGTGCATCATTTCTCAGTTCTTTTGTTCTGTTCTGTTGTTCCCACAATTTCTTTATTTCAATAAAATTACAGATTCCTTATAATAAGCAAGGACACGATAGGGCAAACGTCTCGACCAATTTAAATTTATTACATGTCCTTGAAGAACATGTGAAAGGGAAAAAATGAAAAACAAACAAACACATCCAAACATGTACCTAAAATGTGAATATAAACAACTGAAGGAACACAAAAAAATGAAACAACTAATGGAGAACATCAAACCAAGCCAACCAAAAAGTAAAGCGATTTCTTTTAACTTGTCGGCTTCATTCAGAGGGAAGCAGTAGACAAATTTCTGGCTGATGTTTGACCTTTCTTGCGATTTATACAAATCTCCGGTTGTGGTGCAGTTGTTTCGCTCAATATTGTCCTCTCGGGTGGGACACAGATAGAATAGGCCCATAACAAAGGTAAAGACCTTCCCACTGACTGCTTCCATAGTCCGCCGGCTGTCACTTGTTTACAACTCAATCTTGGTCGATACCGCAGGCCGAGGTAGGGAGACGGGCAGTAGGAACGGTTTTGTGTTATCGATTCGCCGCGCGCGGCTGTCGCGAACTTCGTTTCGCCGTTAATACGGCTCTAGCGTTCTTCATACAGCTCGATCGCTATGCGATTACTACTTTTGGCACGATTCTACTGTTAGTTCTTTTGTTCCTGTGTTTCGTACTTGCTGCTGCATTCTGCTACATTCCCTCGCGCGCGGCGTCTATCTTGCCGCGACGCGACGATTTCGTTCCTACTGCACCACACCCCAGGCCGAGTAGTCCCCCGGCCGGCGGACTATGAAAGCAGCCACTGCGTTCGAGTTACAAATGTCAGTAGAAGTTATGTTCTGCCTTCTACAACGTTTTGATGGATGCCCTTGTACATTACCCATCATCTGTGAGTATTACACCAAAGAGCACAAATCCACGACAACTAGTAATACACAATTTAGATCATTTCTTTTGCAGTGAGGTCAGACCGATACACCAAACCCACAGGTTCAGCCATAGCCAAGAGAGGAAGTTACAGTTCAAAAAAATGAGTTTTGACATGAAAAAGAAATGGACAAATGCTTTTTTCAGAGCTACGCCTACGATGCCGGGGCTCGTGAAGAGGATGTAAGCGACACAAAAAAGGTGAAGAAATAAACGAAAGCCAAACATAAGTTTGTAAGCATTAACATAAACTTACTGCTACACGAGTTATGAGCGGAACAACTCCTATCGAAAACACGATAAAGCATTTCACTGTGGCATAAAGCACATGCGAAAGATAGAACACCGGAGCCGAAAGACCCATTACAGATAGAAAAGCCTGAATGTGTCTGTAAAACATCGAACTTTCACAATCACCATCGTAATAACTGACCTTCACTGCACACTTCTCACTGACTATCTCTCTTGCTGTATGAATGACCAATACGAATACGCAAAGACCCCATAGGTACGAAGAGATTCTTAAGAAAAGTGTGATACTATTCAAAAGGTACGTAGCCACAGGCATCCGTCTTAGCCGCAGTTCTGGTGGAATCGTAATATTCGCTGTGGAAGCCTGAAATGCTTAACTACAACGACATATCAAAACAAGTAATTTTTCAACAAATCAACCTCGATAAATAAACTATCAATAGCATATTGAAATGATAGAAAAGCCGATGACCAGTACGGAGGTTCACCAGGAATCCTGAACAAAAAAATGCATGAGAATGCACGGATATTCCTACCATCCTTCATTGCCCCCACTATGCCTGTCTCAAGCGATTGTGTTCCGGCTGTGTGCTTGTTGCTCCTACACTAACCGCAACACTCATTCTATAACGACCGCTATTCATTTTGACAAACAAACACATTTAAAAGATCATTTCCGCTGAAGGCTTTGTTTGTGACAATGTCGTACTTTTCACTAACAAGCATGGTTTCGGGGATGGTTCCGTACGATAGATCACGTCCAAATTTTCACAACTCATCGACAATCGTGAAAGTGCAGGACGAAGTTATGTCTTACGTTCATCGATTTGAATTAAGCCTTTTGCATTGTCGAGACAGAATACAGAAGAAGAGACTGTAAGTGAAGCCTTGGGCAACCAGGGTGTACCAAGTCATTATACGAGGTGATTTCGCGAAGCTCTCTGGCAACTTCAGGGTCTCACCATTCATTCTACAAACAAGTCATTTCAACGTGAAGTGAGAGGGTTGGGAGGACGGCATCTTCTCGAGAAAATCGTTATTCAGAATGTAAATACTGTGGAGTGAGGCCGGTACTAACATCATCTCCGCTTTGCAGACGACATCGTCCTCACAACAAGAAACATCGAGCAGGCGGTACGAAATAAACGAATATATCTTATTTTGAATCACCTGTCGTAATCTTCATTATCAATGAAAGGTCCATCCCATTCCGAATCGAGTTTCCATAAATCGACACTCTTAGAACCAGAAGGCAACAGTATTTTATAGTCAAGCTTACTAGCCTTTGTGTCAAACTCATTGAATATCACACCGCCTGCGAACCTGGAATCGATTCATAACAGAGCGGTCTGTGGATGATATTAACAAAGAACTAATCTAAAAACCGAATTGATGAGGACTAACTCATTAATTGAGCATCCATACGTGCTATTGGTGGGAGCATCTGCACGAAGTTCATCGAGCAACTGGGCTTCGTCTGGAAAATTCACCACTTCTACCGTGTGAAGCGAACTGTTAAATCGAGCGGCCAGTTCGTTTATCAGGGCCTCAACGGAATCCTGGTCTTTTTGTGTGCTAAAACAAAAATAGTAGTTAAAAAGTGAGTGGAAGAAAATAAACCATAAAGTCAACGGGTTCGTCAAGACACCGAGCAAGATTAACTGGGCAGTAGTTTTCTGGTGTGCGCGAAACCAATCGCTTGCTGAGTTGAGTCAAAGATGTTAGTTGTACGGAATACATAGGAAGGGAACAAAATTGTAAACTTACGAAAAAGCTATGGAGACTTGTTGACGATAACACCATCTCATTTGTATGGACGGTACGTAACCAACATTGCGAGCGATGTCTCCTGCTCCACCTTCCAGAGTTACAGCGTCAAACGACCTACCTGGGGACAGCTGTACTTTGCTGTTCTGAAGAAAATGGTTATGTTATGTTATGTTATGTTATGTTTATTACATGACCACGCATGTAAGTTAAATCAATACAATTGAAAAAGAAAAACAATACAACACATATGCTAATACAATTGGAAAAACGAAACACAACACACGGGAGTACGTAACTATTCTTCTAAAGCAGCCAATTGAATAGTAGAAGATTTACCCAACTTTTGGTATAGCGAACCGGCTCTGTTAACAAAGTAGTTAGCTCTCACTGAAGTTTTGGGTAAAGACAGCACTAGTTTGAAGAGAGGTCCTCTTGTATTCGACGCCGACACTCGAAAAAGGATTTTCGTACTTTACCCTCCTCTCTCAGGATTTTACGAACCATCGTTAAATCACTCCTCTTCCTCCCTGCCTTCTCGCTATGTGGATTCAATCGATAACCTATGCCGGCTATCCGCATCATGAGTTTTCTAGTGAAACTGTTCTGTATACCTTCTAGGGCACTTATAATTCCCTTCTTCGTGGGACAAAAGACAGTAGTACCGTAT